GCTTACGAACGAAGTTAAAAATATAATGAATGATTTAACTGAAAATTAAGTTACAATAGTTATTTAAATGTCATAAACAATGTGCATTAAATTTCATAAATTTTCATACAAATTTATGAAAAGTACATTAAATTTCATGTACATGTACACAAATTTATTTTGTGTACACGTATATATTATACTTTTTACATACATACAGTATATATAATATTTATACCTTTTTATAAATATATTAAATTTAATATGATGTCATGAAATTAAGTTCAAATTTGATAACTCAAAAGTATATTAAATTTCATGAAATTTGTAACAGTGAAATACAGAGGTTGCTACAGTTCTTGAAACGAGATAAAAGTTATAAAAGCGAGCAAATTCACTTTTGTAATTTTCGTTTTAAGAAACGTAATAAGCTCTGAGCTATTGATCTATCTAATACAAATTTAATTTACCCATTTGAATGGTTATCGTGTTCCTTTCATCTCATATTCTAACGGTTCGTGCGGATAATTGTTCTGTTTATTTCATCGTATTCTGGGAAAATAAGAACTCGCTCATTAATCTACCTTCGTCGATCTTGTAATTAATCGCGTTTCTTCAAAAATGTCAATCGATCTTCTTTTTTCACGATATTTGAGAGTCGGCACATACCTTCTGCTTATTATCGTGCATTATATCATCGAACGATATTTGGAAATTTAACGTTAAAAAACTGTTTATTCGAAAATTTAGCAAAATTTATAATATGATAAAATTCACAGTATCAACTAACATATAAATTCAATTATTAGTCTCGCGAGACGAGTAAATAAACCAATTTTTATTAACAACACTATTTTGGCGTTTATCAAGTACACATTTCTCTCGTAAGACTTTTACTTTTTTATATCCAAGACAATCAAAAAGTGTATTATGAAGTGAGATAAAGATGTAGAAAGATGATTTTTTTATAGCGGCAATAAAGTGAATATTACATCACGTAATAAGATATGTTATTTCCTGATAAAATGCAATTATAAACTATTCTAATTTAATTGCCTATCTTATAAGTAAAAATTTTATTAAAGTTAAATTATATCATAAAAACTCAAGATAAAAAAGAAAGATAAAAGATTTTTCTTTTTCTAACACAGAAATGTTGGATTATGTCTTATAATGTCTTTAGGCGTATGCCGGTTTTCAGGTCAGAAAAGCAAATAGAGACCTGCAGCAGCTGTCGCGTCATCAGCGCCGAGAGATCGGCCTGGCGACGATGTTGATGTGCGTGGTAATCGTGTTCCTGATCTGCAACATCCTGCCTATGATCTCAAATGTGCATGAGACATTCATCGCAGATCCGCCGCAGTGGATGGTGCAAATCGGCAATCTGTTGGTGACTATCAACAGCAGCATCAACTTCATCATTTACGTGATCTTCGGTCGGAAGTTCAAGAGAATATTCCTCAAGCTCTTCTGCTCGTCCAGGCTGTTTGTGCCAGGCCGGGACAGTCCGGAGTTTCAGACTTACGACGAATCGGTCGTCACGACGAATATCGAGCTAAGAAATTCAGTCAGGCACGGCCACCTCCACCGTGCCAACACCATCAGCTGGAACAACAACATCCACGTGTCCAACGGCAGCACCAGACAGAGCCTGAAGAGCAATAGACCAGCCAGCCCCGGTTCTTGCGTTTATTATCCGGGCAAGAATTCAGTGAGAAACTCTAGCTCTAGTCAAATGTCGAGAACGTCAAATGGTCGCAACAGTTGGACCAAAGAGGAGAACTGCGATTCTACATTATAATGGACAGCAATAGCTATCCTTCGCGTTTATTACACAATTGGAAGTTTGCCGAGTGTTTTCAATGTTAAGAACTTTCACTCATTAAAAGTGAAAAGAGTAGAATGTG